AATATATGTATTGCAAACATTTTCTCCCAGTCTGTGGCTTGCTTTTTCACACTCTCAATGTTGTCTTTCACCAAACAGAAGTTCTAAGTTTTAGTGGAGTCCAATTTATTAATATTCTTTTATGGTCAGTGATTTTTTTTTTTGCCCTCTTAAAGAAACTTTTGTTGGCTGGGTGTGGTAGCTCATGCCTATAGTTTCAGCAGTTTGGGAGGCCAAGGTGGGTGGATCACTTGAGCCCAAGAGTTCAAGACAAGCCTTGGCAACATGGTGAAACCTCATCTCTACCAAAAATGCAAAAATTCACCAGTCTCATAATCTGGTCTCAAAATAAATAAATAAATAGATTAAAATGTAAAAACAAAAAAAAAGAAACATTTGTCTATCTCAAGATGTAGAAGATACTCTTTCGTGCTTTTTTCTAGAAGCTTTATAGGTTTAGCTTTCATATTTAAATTTATGACTTACTTTGAATTAATTTTTGTATATGGTATGAGGAAAATTCAAGGGTTTGTTTTCCTTATGGATATCAATTTGACCCAGAACCATTTATTGAAAAGATCAAATACGTGTTGGTTTGTGTGATAATGTGAAATACATTGGTCTTCCACCTCCTTTCCTGGCATAGAACTCCTGAATTTTTTAGAAATTCCAAAGTGATGTCTTTTTGTAGGCTAATGAGATAACTGATGGCTGGCAGCCTGTAGGTAGCTTTGGGATAGGGGCTGGTCACCAGGAAGAACAAGGAACAAGACAGGGTTGGAATATTGGGCTCTGAGCTCATCTCCAACCTCCAGCAATGGTGATCTTCTTGCTGGTCTTGCCATTCCTGGACCCAAAATGCTCCATGGTGTCTGCAATATTCATGCCCTTTTTCAACTTGTCAAATACCACATGCTTGGATCCATCCATTCAGTCTCTGCAACGCAGATGAAAAACTAGGAACCATTTGTGTTGGATCCAGCATTTGTCATGGACAAGATGCCAAGACCTGTATGCTTTAGAATGAAGTTCTCACCGTCAAATTTCACCCCAGAGATGAACTTGCCACCAGTGCTATTGTGGTATGTGATGTCACCATCCTGGCACATAAATTTTGCAAGAATCCTGTGAGAGCAAGAGCTCTTATAACCAAATCATTTCTCTCCAGTGCTCAGAACACATTTTCTGCTGTCTTTGGAACTTTGTCTGCAAACAGCTCCAAGGAGACACAGTCTAAGGGTTCATAGTCAACTGCTCTACTAATGAACATGGTGGGGTTGACTCTGGCTGATGGTGAGAGACTCTAGGTAGTGTTGACACCTCCAAAGCACCAGAAAGAATTTACTTTTGGCTTGCTAATTTTCTCTATTGTATATTTGCTTTTTATTTTGTTGAGTTCAGCTTTTACCTTTATTTTCCTCTTTCTCTTTTCTTTGGGTTATCATTATCATTATTTGAATTACTATTTCTTTTTTGTTTCTTGAAATTGAAGCTTGCATTATTGACTAGCAAACTTTCTTTTATTTCTAATATACACTTCTTTTTTTTTTTTTTTTGAGACGGAGTTTCACTCTTGTTACCCAGGCTGGAGTGCAATGGTGCGATCTCGGCTCTGCAACCTCTGCCTCCTGGGTTCAGGCAATTCTCCTGCCTCAGCCTCCTGAGTAGCTGGGATTACAGACACGCACTACCATTCCCAACTAATGTTTTGTATTTTTAGTAGAGACGGGGTTTCACCATGTTGACCAGGATGGTCTCGATCTCTTGACCTCGTGATCCACCTGCCTCGGCCTCCCAAAGTGCTGGGATTACAGGCGTGAGCCACCGCGCCCAGCCTATCCCCCCACTTTTATTGTCACAAATTACATCTGTTTGTATTGCTCTTCACTTCTGCCTCAGTTTCCATTTTTTTAATATCTAAAGAACAACGTTTGGTATTTCTTTTCCTGCAGGCCTCCTTGTGACATATTCTTTCAGCTGTTATTTTTTTCTAAAAATGTCTTTATTTCAGCTCCATTTAAAAAAAATTTTGTTTTTGTTTTTTTGAGACAGAGTCTCACTCTGTTGCCCAGGCAGGAGGGCAGTGGCACCATCTCAGCTCACTGAAGCCTTGACTTCCTGGGTTCAAGTGATTCTTGTGCCTCAGCCTCCCGAGTAGCTGGGATTCTGAGCATGTACCATTACACCCAGCTACTTTTTGTATTTTTAGTTGAGATGGGGTTTTGTCATGTTGGCCAGGCTGGTCTCGAACTCCTGACCTCAAGTGATTAGCCTGCTTTGGCCTTCCAAAGTGCTGGGATTACGGGCATGAGCCACCATGCCCTGCCTTGATTTTTGAAGTACTTTTTCACGGGTATAAAATTCTAGATAGGCAGTTATTTTCTTTCAGCACTATAACGATATCATTCCTTGGAAAATCAAACATGTATGTTTTCACTGATATGTGGAAGCTTAGCTATGAGGACGCAAAGGCTTAAGAATGATACAACGAACTTTGGAGACTTGGGGTGGGAGCAAGGTGAGGGATAAAAGACTACAAACAGGGTGCAGTGTACACTGCTCAGGTGATGGGCAGTGTACAAGATCTCACAAATCACCACTAAAGAACTTACTCGTGTAACCAAACACCACCTGAATCCCAATAAGCTATGGAAAAAAAATCACTCCATCATCTTCCGCTTTTTATTATTTTTGCTGAAATGTCAGCTAAGTTGTTTATTTTGTGAAGGGAATTTAGTTTTCCCCAACTCTGGCCCCATAATTTTTCACTGTTTATAAACTCTCTGATAACTTTAACAATGTGCTTTTATATGTTGTTCATTTTTCTTCCCGTTACTTTTTTTTTTTTTTTTTTTTTTTGAGACTGAGTTTCGCTCTTGTTACCCAGGCTGGAGTGCAATGGCGCGATCTCGGCTCACCGCAACCTCTGCCTCCTGGGTTCAGGCAATTCTCCTGCCTCAGCCTCCTGAGTAGCTGGGATTACAGGCACGTGCCACCATGCCCAGCTAATTTTTTTTTTGTATTTTTAGTAGAGACGGGGTTTCACCATGTTGACCAGGATGGTCTCGATCTTTTGACCTCGTGATCCACCCGCCTCAGCCTCCCAAAGTGCTAGGATTACAGGCTTGAGCCACCGCGCCCGGCTTCTTCCCGTTACTTTTAGTGGGAGGATTGGTTAGTGTGTCTTAACCTGGACTTTTACTACATAATTAGAATTCCTTAGATGATTCTTTATCTCGACCATTAAGGGCACTCTGTAGAATGAAAGTATGTTTTATTTCCAGATCGCAAACTCTCTATGTCAGGAACGATGTCTTATACACGAAGAGGCCCTGCCTCTTCAGGGGCTGGATTAGATTTGGACTCAGTAAGGACTGAATAATTGGCGAGGACAGTATATATCCTTTTTGTAGGTTTAGTAATGATTTTTTCCACTCACTTTTGTTCTCAGGATCTTTGTGCAATACTTGGCCAGTTGACTTGCTCTCATAAATAGTGCTAGGACCGTGGGAGATGGAGACGCAGACAGGCACTGCACGGTCTCTGCTTTTGAGAAGCTTTTGGTTTGCTAATGGGCAGAGCCAGTACGAGTTACATAAATATAAATGGGAACCCCATGTATTTTGCTCTTAGGAGCATCAAGATCAAAGAAACATATTTCATCAAACAAACAGTATTACAAGTCCTTTAATTATTTACTTAGTCTCCTGAGAACATGCCAGGGTGAAGCTGTGGCTTGGAGAGAGTGTATTTGTAATGCACTGGACATCTGAAAACCCCTCTCTCTCCATTGCTGTCTTCTTAATGGCCTCCATTTTAACAGAGCCACTTGTAAAACTCTCCCCATCTCCTGTTCCCTCCTCCAAACCCTCCCTGGCCCTTCCTCAACTCACCCAGAGACTTTTTAATTTCCTGCACCTGCTGGGCCATGCCACATAGTGTCCTTGCTAAAAATGGCTATAGGAACTTCCAGGCTTGGACACTGACTGCACTGAATAGCACTAGGTTGTCACGCCCGCATATTCATTAGCTCTCATCTTGATCCCTTGAGAGGGAAGTGCTGGGATCTGCCTGGAAAGTCTGGTTTTATTTGTACAGTTGTTTTCCAGGGAGAAATCCTTGTGGAGACTTTCTGATCACTGGAAAACTGGAAACATTAATGAATAATGATGACAATCCAATGTGCCAAGTACATGAGAGGGGATTATGAGTTAGGCTCTCTGAGAGTACAGTTGAGGGGCCATGAGTTCAGCTTGGAGGGTTAGTCTTCCTGGGCCTGATCATTCAGAATTTCTGACAGTCACTACCTGCCATTAGCAGTTGCCTCCGCACTATTTGGAGGGAGTCACATTAGATGTGGTGTTTATAACATTGTGGTTAAGAATTTATCTTCTGAAGCCAAACTGCTGTCTTTACAAAGAGTAAACAAATAAGCTGAGTACAGTGGCGTGCACCTGTAGTACCAGCTACTGGGGAGGCTGAGGTGGGAGGATCACCTCAAGCCCAGAAGTTCAAGGCTGCAGTGAGCTGTGACTGTGCCACTGCACTTCAGCCTGGGTGACAGAATGAGACCCTGTCTCTAAAAAAACGAAACAAAAGAAAACAAAAACATAACACCAGAGGACTAGGTTTCAGGCTCATCATTCTCACTGTAATTTAAGCCAGTTACTTAGGTTCTTTCTAATTCAGTTTCCTCACCCGTAAAATGGGGATAAGGGTCACTGTTAAGTTAAACAGTTAAAATGTATAAAGTGTGAAACCTGCTTGTCACATACTAAGTACTCAAGTTTTTAGCTATTGGTCTGTAGGATCCTTCAGACTAGGGGCTTAGAGCTTGGGGACAAGGGGAGGCAGATGGAGGGGATCCACTTTAAGTTAAATCCAGGCTCTGGCTCTCCTAGGCTCTGGGCTCCTGATACTCATCCCCACCCTACTGGCTTAAGGGAAGTCACATCCAGCTGCCCACATTGCTCAGGACTGACACTCCTCCCACTACCTTCAGCTTGGGTTCTCTTTCCTAGAATGCCAAGTTCCACCTTACCATAAGGTTGGCATCTCAGGACAGCGTCTTCAGTTACAACCAAACAGTACACAGATGAAGGTTGAAAATGTTCAATGGAAGATGCGGCTGCCCTCACGTGAGGAATTTAATCAGATATTTAAGTGGGAGGATGGCTCGACTTTCAATGCTTCCAATGATAGATTCCATTTTGAAATCGAGAGCCCGACTCTTCTCATCAAGGCAGCTCAGCCACAGGACAGTGGCTTCTACTGCGTAGAGGCCACCTATATGAATGGACATGTTCAGAGAACCACGTTCCAGGTTTCTGTATTTGGTGAGTCTCCAGGACTGCTCATACTGCCCTCTCTGATTCCCATAGGCCTCTAATTTCTGAATTTCCAATGCCTTTCTGATCAGAATCTCTGCTTCCAGATACAGTTGGGAAACCCCGCCTACACGGGCAGGGGAAGATCCTGGACAGTGGGAGGTGCCAAGTGGCTCTGTCCTGCTTGGCCTCCACGGATGGCAATGTGACCTATGCTTGGTACAGAGGGAGCGAGCTGATCCAGACAGCAGGGAACCTCACCTACCTGGAGGAGGTTGACGTTGATGGCCTGCACACATACACCTGCAATGTCAGCAACCCTGTTAGCTGGGAAAGCCACACCCTGGATCTCACTCAAGGTTGTCAGAATGCCCGTCAGGGTAAGTGGAACACACTGGGCTATAACAGGGGCTGAAGGTTTGTACCCTACAACCAGGCTCATGCTCAAGACAGATGTAGTATGAGATAAAGTCCCTTCGTCTCCTCTCCCAGTGCCTTGTAGCCCTTCCCAGGGCAGTCCTGGCCTCCAGGCACATGGTTCCGCTAAAGCCAGGCCTATCCTACTCTGGAAAAAAAAATGTTAGCCCTATTTCTTTCTGGGAGATGCAAGTGTTTCCTCTGCAGAGGGAAAGCTAATTGTTTGGTGAGTGACAGTCCTGCAATGGCTTGAACATAATTTTCTTCCTGGGAGAGGCTGATGGAGAACTGTTCTCTTTTCTTGAGTGATAACTTTCCCCAAGCCACATAGTTGGAGAGGTAACTACACCATGCAGCAGTAGCCTGGAGCAGGAGCAGCAAGGTGATCCCAGGGATACCTAGATGAGTTCTTGGGTTGCTTATGCTCATCCTAAGAGTTACCTGCGTTAACTTTGCACAACTTTTTATTAGATAAGCAGAGACTTCTTGGGCCAGCAACATGGGCATTATAGGAAAAATTTTTAAAAAGCTTACAGCTCTCATTCGTAAGGAACTTATAGCCAAATTGGGGCAGCAAAAATAAGTGCTTGTGGACGAAAAGGAAACAAGACTGAGGCAGGTCGGTCTCAGTGGCTCACACCTGTAATCCCAGCACTTTGGGAGGCTAAGGTGGGCGGATCACAAGGTCAGGAGTTCGAGACCAGTCTGGTCAACATGGTGAAACCCAGTTTCTACTAAAAATACAAGCAATTAGCTGGGCATGGTGGCAGGTGCCTGTAATCCCAGCTACTCAGAAAGCTGAGTCAGGAGAATTGCTTGAACCCAGGAGGTGGAGATTGCGGTGAGCCGAGATTGTGCCACTGCACCCCAGCACAGGCAACAGTGCAAGACTCTGTCTCAAAAAAAAAAAAATAGTAAAAAAAAGAAACAAGACTGAAAGACGGAGGCCATGTGTAGTGACAAGGACACTGGCTTCATCATTCATAGAAGCTCTGTGCCCTCTTAGAGGTCAGGTGTGGTGGCTCATGCCTGTAATCCTGGCACTTTGGGAGGCAGGTGGATCACTTGAGCCCAGGTGCTTGAGACCAGTCTGGAAAACATGGCATAATCCTGTCTCTATTAAAAAAAAAAAAAGAGGAAGAAGAAACTCTGTGATCTCTAGCAGATTCATTGATTCATGAACAGGACTGCTGTTAAGAGTAAATGAGATGATGTTTGCAAAGAACCTTGTCAGTACCTGGAACACTTAATTCCTTTCCCTTTTTCTTGTTGGCTGGATTATGCATCAGGCTACATGTGTGACACAGATGTTTTAAGTAGAAGTTCAAATGAGGAAGAGCTATGGAGGCAGGAGTAGTAGAAAAGTGAGATGGAAAACTTGCCTGTACAATGAATATTTTTTGAGTTAAAAGCAAATGAACAGATAAATGAAACATTTGTTGTGCTAGATGCTTTCCATGTCCTTCAGTATCCATGGGGAATTGGTTCCAGCACCCACCCCCCAACCACATATGCCAAAATCCACGCATGTTTAAGTCCCTGGCATAAACAGGTGCAGTATTTGCATATAACCTATGCACATCTTCCTGTATACCTTACTTAAATCATTTCTAGATTAATTGTCATGCCTAATACAACGTAAATGCTATTTAAATAGTTGTTATACTGTATTATTTAGGGAATAATGACAATATTGTTTAGGGAAAAAATTCTCTATGTATTCAGATGCGATTTCTTTTTCCTGAATATTCTGGATCCACAATTCATTGAATCCACAGTTGTGGAACTCTAAACTTTGGAGGGCCAGCTGTGTTAGATCATGTGATTAACCCCTGTAGGTAGATAACATTATCCCCTTTCACAGGTAAGAAAATCTGAGAGGTTCTTTAAGAGGCCCAGAGAGCTTAAATAAATAGTGCAGAGCTCACAGAGTTAGAATTTGAGCCAGGCCTGTCCGATATTAATATCCATGCTTTTGGCATCACTCAAAAGAGGTTACCCAACAGAGCAAAGAGAAAACCTTCCAGTGAGTTCGCAGAGTGTGAGGCGATCAGCTACACCACAGAAAAGAGTGGGTTTTGAGACAGCCCCCGCAGGCTGGTGGGAAGGAAGAAGAGAGCGAGCCGACGCTCAGTCCTCATGCCTTCTGTATTCCTCAGAATTCAGATTTTGGCTTTTTTTGGTGATCGCTGTGATTCTAAGCACGCTATTGCTTGGTACCCTTGCCTGCTTCTGTGTGTGGAGGAGAAAGACGAAGGGGAAGCCGTCAGGTGAGTCCTTGGGGTGGTGCTGCTGCCCCGGGCCTCGGATCCTGTGACTTGGTCCTGCGTCCAGTGGGATGTGTCTGGGAGCACAGCATCTCCCGTTCCTCAGCGAGCTTGGGTATATGTGTGTACGTGTTGGGGGATGGCAAGCAGGCTCCTAGTCTCTCTCTCTCCCAGTTCATGCCTTCCGATCCCCAATGCGCAGATTTCCCTGCAGGCAGCTGGTTTGGGAGGAGGCGTGGCGGGGGCGGTTTGTTTGCTGCCTCTGTGCTCTTTGGGTTTCCTGGGAAGGGCACTAACCTGCCTCCTGTCTGGAACCTTTCTTAAGGTTTTGCCATTTGGGGTGGAGGTGGGACCTGCTAGAAGCAGAAGCCCTTCTGGAGATTTCTGCAGCTCTGCTCTTTGTTTTCTTCCTCCCTCAGAGACCAGTTCCAAGGAGTTTTTGACAATTTATGAAGATGTCAAGGACCAGAAAACCAGGAGGAATCAAGTATGGCATCCCAGGGGCTGGGGTCTCTCTCAACTGGCCTGGAAGATGCTCTTTCAATGATGGTTATTCAGAACTGAGGGACAAAAATGACTGCACAATTGTCCTCTTGATGTGACCCTCAGCCCTTCCCCATCTGTCTTTTCTCCACCGGCTTCAAAAGGAGCAGAGAAGATGAAAGGGAGGCTGAAGGGGCATCTTGGGGCAGAATTGCACCTGCTGAGAAGGGATGGAGCCCAGGAGAAATCAAAGGCAGAGGCAGAGTGCTGCTGTGGTATTTGTTGTCAGATCACAAATTCTTTTTCCTAATGAGTCAGGGCTTACTTTCTTGAGTCCCTTTCTTTAACGGTGACCTAGGCTGGGAAGTGTGACCAGCAAAAGCATAACAGTTTTGTAGCTGGCTCACGGGGCTGCATTCTCAGCCTTTTGAGAGAAGAGGCCCGAGTGTGGCTGAGGTACTAGAGAGAGTAACCAGCCTGGCACAAAGCCCACCAGCCTGCGTGTACTGCTCCAGGAGCCTCTCACCAGCTCTCTGTGGCAGGCAGTGGCCAACTCTACCTGTCATCCAAGAATTAGGAGAGGAGGCAATTGCAGAGGGGCTGCAGATGGCCCCTCTGCTGTGTCCTGCTCAGGGCAGGATGTGGTGACAGGCCCAGGGGAAGCTCTGATGAGGCCCACAGAACTGCTGGCAGGAAGGAGTGATGAAGTGGGGCGGAAATGCCTTCTTTTCACTGCCCCTGGCGCTCTGCCTTGGAGACCCAGCACCATGCAGGAAGCACGTGTTGGGGAGCTCTTCCGCCCTGGCCACGTGCGTGAGGCCCTGTACGGCCTCGAAGAGCAGGCAAGCATCCTCTCCCAGGTCTGGGTTCAGAGGCAGTTGGGGCAGCTTCTACGCCTGTTTTTTTTTTTTTTTTTTTTCTCCTTTTCCCCCTAGCAGTGGCTATTGGGATGTGAAAAATAAAAGGAGACTTTTGTTTCCTTCACTGCTACAAGACTCTGGTACAAATTCCTGAGAGCATGTGAATCTACCCAGAGCCAATGATGCCTGGGTGCCTGCTAAAAATAATTTTTTTTTTTCCCCAAAAAGAAGATGGCTTGAGATTAGGAGACCATGGGGGAAAAACGACTTAGAGCAAAAGAAGCCTCTGGGGATTCAGGCCTATTAGCTGACTTCTGACTCAAGAGTTCCTCCCTGTCTGGCCTCAACCCTCTCTCTATTGTCTCAGGGTTCCAATTTGGAGGTCTCACTTTGAGACCCAGCTCTAATATTTCTAGAAACACTTCACATGAGTCTGGACAGGAGAGAAAAGTATTTTAAAACACAAATAAAGTTATTGACATGGTCAGATGCCCATGACAGATGCTCATGACTCTCCAGCCTCTAAGGACAGCTGACAGTTCTCTGCTCCTCTTAGCGCTTCTTGCTTTCAGGAGTGTTGCTTGTACCTTGCCTGATGAACCCTTCTGGCCTCCTCTGGCTCCCATTAGAGCTCAAACTAGCAATATGCTCACTGAGAAGTGGCCAGCAGCATGAAATACCTCCACCACGGATTTCCTAAGGGGCAGGAACAAGGAAAGGGAAGCAGAAGGAGCTGCTCCCTGCTTTGGCCCTTGGGTTCAAGGCTGCACCCAACACTGTAGCTCCCCAGGGGACTGGCTTGAAGTCAAGGGCAAGTTGGTCTCGAAGATGATCTAGAGAAGGCTTAACTGGGTTTGGTCTTCGAAATGTTTAAACCTGAATTTCAGTGCTCTGAGGTAAGGCTCAGATAACAGCCCAACTCAGAGCTCTGCAAGGAAGGGTTTCTAAGTTACTAAAGGAAAGGAAGTGACAGCATTCTCTTTGGGCAGGGTTGCTGGGATCCCTCACACCTGGGTGGTTCCTTGCTCCTGATACTAACGGCTTCACTGCAGACTGCCCTTCTTCCTGTCTCTCCCCATCCTGGGACGGTCAATGACTCCTCAGTCCTGCCACCTCCCTCCAAGCCTCCTGAAAGCCTCTCTTCTTTGTGCTGTTTTCCCCTGCTCAGTCTAAATCTGCACAGACCCAGATATCTGCTCATGTTACCCCATTTCTCTTTCTTGTGCAGGTGCAGGATCAGACTTTTCTTGGAGAGGGAACCTCCATCTACTCTATGATCCAGTCCCAGGTACCCCTCCGTTTTCTCTAGTCTATTCTATACCTATCTCTGGGGCTTCCTAATGCTCCCCCACAACACTCACACACTTGAGTGGCAGAATAAGATCTTCGTGCTCCTGGAATCCAGAAGACAGTTTGGGTTCAACTGCATTCACACATTATTGGAAAAGATCAGTGTGGTTCTGGAGCATAACACAGCTGGGAAGCCTGATGTGGGCATTCCTTCTTCTGTGCCTGGCACAAGGTCTGGCCCAGATAAAGTCTATGGGAGCAGAAACCTGGTTAGGGGACTCTATGTCTGCTTTCTTGCCCTGCTGCTGCTTCTGATACTTGGTGACCTTATACTTTTTATCCCTATTCCCTGTTATATTCGGTTTCAGGAAAGGATGACTCTGTATTGGTTGGTCCCTTTTATCTTATCATGACTTAGCAATAATGTCCATTTTCTTTTCTTCTTTAAAAAAATTTATTGTTGCCGGGCGCGGTGGCTCAAGCCTGTAATCCCAGCACTTTGGGAGGCCGAGGTGGGTGGATCACGAGGTCAAGAGATCGAGACCATCCTGGTCAACATGGTGAAACCCCGTCTCTACTAAAAATACAAAAAGTTAGCTGGGCGTGGTGGCGCGTGCCTGTAATCCCAGCTACTCAGGAGGCTGAGGCAGAAGAATTGCCTGAACCCAGGAGGCGGAGGTTGCGGTGAGCCGAGATCGCGCCATTGCACTCCAGCCTGGGTAACAAGAGCAAAAAACTCCGTCTCAAAAAAAAAAAAAAAAAAAAAAATTATTGTTTAGAGACAAGGTCTCTTTATTTATTTATTTATTTATATTATTATTTTTTTCTTGAGAAGGAGTCTTGCTCTGTCACCCAGGCTGGAGTCCAATGGCACAATCTCAGCTCACTGCAATCTCTGCTTCCTGGGTTCAAGTGATTCTCCAGTGTCAGCCTTCTGAGTAGCTGGGATTGCAGGCACGTGCCACCAGGCCCAGCTAATTTTTTGTATTATTATTATTTTTTTTAGTAGAGATGGGCTTTCACCATGTTGGCCAGGCTGGTCTCAAACTCCTGACCTTGTGATCTGCCCGCTTCAGCCTTCCAAAGTGCTGGGGTTACAGGCATGAGCCACTGTGCCCAAACTTATTTCCATAGGTTTTTTGGGAACAGGTGGTATTTGGTTACATGAATAAGTTCTTTAGTGGTGATTTGTGAGGTTTTGGTGCAGCCATTACAAGACAGGATCTCATTCTGTCTACTAGGCTAAGTACAGTGGTAGAACCATAGATTACTACAGCCTTGAACAGCCTTGAATTCCCGGCCTTAAGTGATCCTCCCACCTCAGCCTCCTGGGGTAGCGAGGACTACAGGTGTACACCACTGCGCCTGGCCGTATTTTCTGCTTTTTTTTTTTTTTTCTTTTTTTTTTGAGACGGAGTTTCGCTCTTGTTACCCAGGCTGGAGTGCAATGGGGCGATCTCGGCTCACCGCAACCTCCGCCTCCTGGGTTCAGGCAATTCTCCTGCGTCAGCCTCCTGAGTAGCTGGGATTACAGGCACGCGCCACCACACCCAGCTAATTTTTTGTATTTTTAGTAGAGACGGGGTTTCATCATGTTGACCAGGATGGTCTTGATCTCTTGACCTCGTGATCCACCTGCCCCGGCCTCCCAAAGTGCTGGGATTACAGGCTTGAGCCACCGCGCCCAGCCGTATTTTCTCACTAAATCTCACATAACAGCCTCGTGAAATAGTTCTAAGACTTTAGATGTGGTCTACATTCCATATCACAATGAGGAAACTGAGACTCAGGCCAACTGATATCTCAAGGCCACATAACTAGGTAGTGGCAGAGCTGAGCCAAAGGGTTTTTGAGTCTCCATTGCCCTTCTTCACACTCTACCTCTAATATTCTGGGATTACAGAAATTCATCCATAAACTGGAGAAACATCCTCTAATAGTGACCGCTAAAATGACATTGGTAGCCCAGGCTGGGACATTGTTCCCAAGGGAAACACTGCCTCCTGGTGGCCAGTAATAAAAAACTTTCTCATAAAAATGGCTTAAAAAAAAAATTGAGACCTGAAACAGCACCATCTTCAGTTTGGTGGCTGAGCTGCAGGGCAAAGAAAATCTGATTATAAGAGTAATTGATATCCGCCAGTTCTCTGGTTGTAGCCACAGTGAACTCCAACGAGAGGAATTTGAATCAGTGCAAGAAAGGGCTCCTCTCAGACTACGGTGTTGAGTGAGAATGAGACTCCTCCTCTGGAGCGTCTTAAAAGGAGGATGGTTACCTGATTTAGAGGACACCTGGTTCAGGTCCAGGGAAGGAAGGCAAGTTGTCAAAAAGAAGCATTGAGGTGTTGAGGAAAGAGCCCTGGAGAGTCTTGGGTTTGAATTCTGCTTCTACTGTGTACACACTGCGTGACTTGGCTATTTATCTTTTTGGAGTCTCATTTGTGGCACGGGGCAAATTATGATGATTCCTATTTTATAGGAGTGTTACAAGAGTTAGAGAGACCCCAGGCACAGTAGCTCACGCCTGTAATCCCAGCACTTTGGGAGGCCGAGGTGGGCAGATTACGAGGTCAGTAGTTTGAAACCAGCCTGGCCAACATGATGAACCCCCATCTCCACTGAAAATACAAAAATTAGCTGGGGCATGGTGGTAGGTGCCTGTAATCCCAGCTACCCAGGAGGCTGAGGCAGGAGAATTGCTTGAACCCAGGAGTCAGAGGTTGCAGGGAGCTGACATCGTGCCTTTGCACGCCAGCACAGGCAATAGAGTGAGACTCCATTTCAAAGAATACATAAATAAATAAAAGGAAGAAAGAGTAAGAGGAGAATACCCATATAAAATAACTCAAAAGCAGTAGCTATCATAAATGAGACAGCGAGATTAGTACTCAGGTTGTCTGACCTGGCTGGTCCAGGGCTCTTTTCACCAACACTTGAAGCTTCCATCTGGGCAGGCTTAGGGTGGAGGGATGGAAGAGATAACGTTCATAGAGTTATGCTGGATGTGTGCTTCTGAAATGGTTTTATTTCTCTTCTCATTAGACTTCTACTTCCACATCACAAGAACCTGCATGTACATTATATTCATTAGTTCAGCCTTCCAGGAAGGTGAGTCTCTTCCTGTGGTGGTGGTGGTGGGGTGTGTTGATGCAGATGTGTATTTTGCATGTGTTTGCAGAGAGCGTGTGTGCACATCCTAGCCAGTTGTTCTTCATTGTGTGTATCTGAGTAGCTGCTGTTAAATGAATGTATTTAAATGTCAGTGGGCCAATGCTTTTCTGGGTCTGTCTGGAGAAAAATAACAGCTTCTAGACTAAGAGAACGGCAGATTAGACGAGTTTTTTGGAGTTTCTGTGGGAGATAAAGGACAATCAGAGACAGAAAGGAAGTGCTTTGCGCAGAGAGACTATAGGGTGCTTAGTAGGTCAGCTGAGGCTATGGTGAGAGATACTGGAGGGATTTGCAAAGCAGGGCATATAGCCTGGAGCTGGAGGAATGCACTGCATCTAGAGAGACACAATGCTGACCTTCAGGGACCAGACAGAGGTTCTGACCAGTCTGTCACCTGCTGCTAGAGGCCTCTAGAATGGGGCACCCCCTCCTGGTGTACTAAAATCCTCCTCCAGGCTGAGCTCACAGCTCTCTTTGTACTCGGAACCAGAGTTGGGTATCCTGGAACCCATGGTCATTGTTTTTCTCTGGTGTAGAAGGGGACGGGAGGAGTGCTGCTCCCAAGGCTGGAGCCACAGTGTGAAGCCATGATGCCTTAATGTGGCAGCATGGGAAGTTGGGAGTCCATACGACTGTGGAAGCCCATGCAGATCAGGGACCACAGGTTTGAAGGGTTTAGGACAGATTTTCAGACTTTTCATTCAACCTCCTTCCAATAAGACATTCAACCTACTTGGATCCCATCATGAGAGAGATTTATTTTGAATTGTATGCTACAGTATCAGGCCATATAGATGGTCTCAGGCACCATGTTCACATGCTTTGGGATATGAAAACTTTATGTGCTATTGAACGTGCCTCTGAAGTCTAGTGTCCTTGGGTTGGCAATTATTTATTTATATGCCTGAATTGCTTACATTAGGGGTGTGTGTATGCTATGCATTGAAGAGATACATGGTTTGCGGCAGCATTTGTATTAGGATTGCCTGAGGGATGTGTGTATGTGTGTGCGTATGCTCTAGGAATGCGTGCGTGTATGTGTATATATATGCATATATATATATATATATATATATATGTATATATGCACACACATATATGCATGGGTTTTAGGTATATGTGGGTATGGAACACTAAATTCTGATTTTGGTTCAGAAACATCATATTATAGGCAAATACTGTATACATTGTGTCTCCCCTGGAGATAATATACACCACTGTTTGCTTCTGGGGTGAGAACCATTTTCTGGCTGAGAGTACCTCAGAAGTTTTCTAGGCTCTGAGTCTCTTTTGGGACCTCTCACATCACTTAGGAGTGGGAGAGCGCTTACCTTGAAGTTAAACGTTCTTTGCCCTCTGAATTTCTAGTCTGGATCCAGGAAGAGGAGCCACAGCCCGTCCTTCAATAGAACTGTGCGTGAAGAGGTAAGCTCTGGAACTCCTCAATGGCTTTGGTGTCTGTGGCACAGCCCTGAAGTCTAGCCGTGAAAGGGTGTGCTTAGGAAAATGTCATCCACACAGTCTCAGTGTTGTAGGGAATTTAGAGATCTTCTAATGCAAGTCTTTGTTTTAGAGATGAAGACACTAAAAGCCAAGGAGAATGAGGGCCTATCCCAAGATCATATCGTGTGTTTAGATATGAAGCTTATTGGGCAGCTAGGGTTCTAAATTAGGTCTGTCTCCAGCTAGTTCCCCAGCTGTGGGACACAAACATCTCTGCTTTCCAAGAGTGGCTGGGGGAGGGGTCAGAGAGGGGAAGATAAAGGACTCTAAACCATTTTCTAAAATTAGCAAGTCTTTGGGAGCCATTCCAGGACATAGGTGATCTGAATGTTCTGAAGGGGTGGACACTGTTCAAAGATGACCACTGAGCCTGGTGGCTGAATTTGTTCCCATCAGGGCATCTGGGGACTGAAAAGGAGGGAGTCAACATTTCTTGGGGGTTTATTATGGATAATGTAGCCCGCCAGTGTCTTCACATTTAATCCTCACGGAATGCTACAAGATAGATATAATTAGACTTTCTGTTTATACTCAAAGAAATTAAGGCATGGAAAGCATCCCCCAACCCCCTGTCTACCCATTAGCCTCATACTGCAGATGAGCCTCTCCACCTGTTGTCCAATAAAGCTGCTGCCATTGGTCACAAGGGAGGGGTGGGTGGCTGCCTGCTGGGATTCCTGGCAATTCCCACATTCCTGGCTATCATCCAACATTGAAGCCAGCTAGACAGCCTAGGGTCATGGAGGGCACTGTATAGACCCAGGCAGTTTGGAAGGTCATGAGAAAGCATATGCGATTAAGAGAGCACTGGAATTGGAGCCAGAAGAATTCAAGTCCCTCCTGCACTTCCCACTACTCATGGACTCTGAGTAATTTGTTTTACCACTCTGAGATTCATTGTTTAAATTTATAAAACGGGGATGGCAATAATCCATCCCCCACAGGATTGTTATAAGGACCTCCCAGTGGGAGGGTCTGAAGTTTTTCCTTTTCTTTCGCAGATTGGAGTGAGTCTACCTAAAGCTCGGAACCCTGCTCGATTGAGCCGCAAAGAGCTGGAGAACTTTGACGTGTATGCCTAGTTGCTGTGGCTATTCTCACTTTTCTCAGCATCTGCTTTGGGAATTGGCACAGTGGATGATGGCACAGGAGTCTCTATAGAACAGTTCCTAGGTTCCTAGTCTGGAGAGGATATGGAAATTTGTTCTCATTCTATATTTTGTTTTGAAAATGATGTCTAACAGCCATTCTAAGAATACCTTCCAATATACAGATCAGACATGAATGGTGGAGGGGTTAGGTTGTTCACAAAAGGCCACATTCCAAGTATTTGTAGTCTAGGAAGTGCTATGTAAGTGGTGTTATTGGCATTGAGAGTCCCTCCACCTGATTTTCAGGCTGTTCCTTGTCTTCTTTTCTCCCCAATCTGGATTGACTGCATTTCTAGACTTTCCCCAGGCCCAGGCCCATCTTCCAAAGCAAGAGGAAGGTAAAAGATAATGGTGACTCTGCGGGAGAGGAAACAGCCCTCCTCTGACAGCCCGGACTGTCTGGCTGTAAGCTGGCTGGCAGGTTCTGCCTGGGGGCCAGGGCCTGGGCTTTACTCAGTTGCAGAGAAAAACCTTTCCCCGTGCATCTCACACCTTTACTTCTGGCCAGCTGGAGTGGGCAGAAGGGGGTGATGGTGCAAAGCAAGCCCATCTCTGAGTAGAGAAATCACCCAGAGCACATGCGGACCTGGTAACGGTACTGAAACTAGCTTTGTCCATGGTATGATGTTTGATTTACAAAGACGCATTGTTAGAAATCTATTTTGGCTTCTTCATAGAAGTGGCTTCCCAGAGGAAGACTCCTCTCAGAACATATGTTCTATTTAAGCTCTGAGTCCTCATGAGTAGCAGCCCTCAGCAGGGCTTGTTTCTGCTCCTGGGGAGATACACAGGTCCCAGCATGCAAGTGAGTGGGAGGGAACATGGAGAACGCAGCAAAGAGGAGATAGAAAGAGCACTGGAGGAGTCGGGAGGAACAGCTCGGAGCCTTATAGCTGACGAGCCTTCTGTAAGAGTTGCGTGAATGAGTGAATGACACAGAGGGGAGTGTTAACTACTTTGCTTGGTCTGTGAGCATGGGTCAGTTGCCTCTTATCACATGCCTCAACTTTATAATGATACAATTAACTGCTCTTCTGAGGTCTTCAATTACTCTTTATGCTTAAATTTCTAGAGGCTCAGTTCTGAATGGAGGCTATATAATTAACCAGTAGTCTCTTTACGATGACGTAACTTCTGTGCAAGGATTATGATGTTGTACTCTGCTAAACATTTTATGTGTATGATTATCTTTACCTTTAATCTCACTACAACCATATGAGATGGAAAGTATTTTCCACATTTTATAGAAGAGAAAACTGAGGTTCCAAGAAGCTAAACATTTTGGTCATGGTCATAGGACTAGAAGAAGATACATGATGTCCAGAGTGGCTTTTCTCTTCTCCCCACCGCCCTCCGCGTGCCGTCTCTCTCTCCTCTCTCCAAGTTTTCAGGGTGGTGAAAGTAATGCAGATTAGTGATTAACCACTGTGGAGAGCAGAACATGGGCTTTTTATTCTTTCTCTCTCTCTCTCTCTCTCTCTTTTTTTGAGACGGAGGCTCATGCCACCATGACCAGCTAATTTTTGTATTTTTGGTAGAGACTGGGTTTCACCATGTTGGCCAGGATGGTCTCCATCTCTTGACCTCGTGATCCACCTGCCTCGGCTCCCAAAGTGCTGGGATTACAAGTGTGAGCCACCGCGCCCGGCCCCTTTTCCTCACTTTGAATTAAATATTCTTTCACTGCATTTTCCTGGTGCTCTAAGCCAGCTCACCCCTGGTTTTTTATTCTGCCTAGTTTGGAATGGAGGTGGTATGTACGGAGGAGCAAAAGCAAAAGCTTTAGGTGGCCTCAGCCCTAAAGTGGAGCTGTGATCCACGCCACTGTCTCCTCTTAACTGCCTCAACCACTCAACCACTTGCCTTCCCGTCCATTCATCTTTGAAGTTTAGATCTTAGCCGTCAACCTCTGGGCCTCACCTCCATCTCTCCGTGTCCTCATCTTGTTTGCTTTCTTCCAGACTAACTTCACTCCAGGATTGTTCCTTCTGGAGTACCTTGTACTTAGCTGGGGCTGTCCCAGCCTTATACAGGATCTGCCTTGGCAGAGGAAAAACAACTCTTGGTCCCTGTCATGGTTAATTTTATGTGTCAACTTGACTGGGCTATGGGATGCTCAGATACCAGATAAAACATTGTTGCTGGGTGTCTCTGAGGGTGTTTTCAGAGGAGATTAGCATTGGAATCAGTAGATGGAGTAAAGAAGATTACCCTCACCAACGAGGGTGGGCACCATACATCTATCAGGGACCTGACTAGAACAGAAAGGCAGCGTGGAGGATTAAGGAAGGACTTGTTAAAGGTTATACAATTATAGCTAGATACGAGGAAAAGGTCTAATATTCTATAATCCATCCCAAACTAGGCAGAATAAAAAACCAGGAGTGAGCTGGCTTAGAGCACCAGGAAGATGAAATGAAAGAATGTTTGATTAAAAATGAGAAAAAGGGGCCGGGCATGGTGGCTCATACCTGTAATCCCAGCACTTTGGGAGGCCAAGGTGGGCAGATCATGAGGTTGAGAGAGCAAGACCATCCTGGCCAACATGGTGAAACCCGGTCTCTACTAAAAATACTCTAGGATGATTATAGGTAACAGTAATGTATAGTTTTAGATAACTAGAAGGAGGATATTGAATGTTCCCAACACAAAGAAATGATAAATGTTTGAGGTGACAAATATGTTCATTACCCTTATCACTACAAATTATATGGCTCTAAACATTACTATGTACTCCGTGAATATGTACATAATTATTTGTCAATTAAAAAAATAAAAGACACACCATGAAATACTATGCAGCTATAAAAAAGAATGGGATTATGTTTTTTTGTGGGAACATGGATGGAGCTGAAGGCCATTATCCTTAGCAGACTAACACAGGAACAGAAAACCAAATACTGCATGTTCTCACTCGTAAGTGGAAGCTAAGTGATAATTCATGGACATAAAGAAGGGAACAACAGACACTGGGACCTACTTGGGGGTGGAGGGTGGGAGGAGGGAGAGGAGCAGAAAAAATAATGATTGAATACTAGGCTTAGATCTGGGTGATGAAATAATCTATAGGACTAAAGCCCATGACATGAATTTACCTATGTAACAAACCTGCATATATACCCCTGAAGCCAAAATAAGAATTAAAAAAAATAAAAATAAAAACAGAAAGGTGAAGGATGGAAGATTAGTTTCCACGCACCAGAAGGTGGGGCAGTTATTGTTTTTATTTTGGCCTTGTATCTTAGAATTACCAAATGAGACAAGTATGAGTACAATTAGCAACATTCTGTTCCAGTCAGAGTGACTTCCAGGAGCGGGGGTCTAACTAGGAGCGATGATCTTGCTTATCTTTCTATAGGGCTGTTTGTTGGGTGCTTAGATTTTTTTTTTTTTTTTTTTTTTTTTTTTTTTTTGAGATGGAGTTTCGCTCTTGTTACCCAGGCTGGAGTGCAATGGCGCGATCTCGGCTCACCGCAACCTCCGCCTCCTGGGTTCAGGCAATTCTCCTGCCTCAGCCTCCTAAGTAGCTGGGATTACAGGCATGCGCCACCACGCCCAGCTAGTTTTTTGTATTTTTAGTAGAGACGGGGTTTCACCATGTTGACCAGGATGGTCTTGATCTCTCGACCTCGTGATCCACCCGCCTCAGCCTCCCAAAGTGCTGGGATTACAGGCTTGAGCCACCGCGCCCGGCTGGTGCTTAGATTTATAGTGTGAAGGGATTCTAACATGTTAGCTTTAAGTTGCTTTACATCTGCTGTTAAATTGTCATGAAAGGTTCCTCAGACGTGTTGTTTCACCTCATCCTAACTATGCACTGATTGATTCCATGGCAGAGAAGTGACAAAGACATGTTTATGTTTTTACTCAGAGCTTAATTGCTGTCGGAATGCCAGGGTATTTTGTTGCTCCCTCACATATTCCACAGCAGCCTCAAGGGCTTGCAGGTGTACAAGGATTTTTTGATCTATACTTTGCTGTAAGAGAAGTTCGTTAGACACATTTTTGACCAGATTGTCTACAGAGGCGGCTGTTTGTACTGACTCAGTAATAGATGTCACGGCAATGCTGGCAGTTGCTGGGATGACTATGGCTTTGAGTGTAACTATGAATCTTTTGTGTCTGACCTGGAAGAGGGCACATTCTAAGGTGAAAGGGCAAAGGAAACTTGCCAATCATGTGTCAAATTGGCAAGGTTGGTAGGAATGCCTCAGATTGTCTCCTTAATACTATGACACTAGTAATTTTTAAATTAGATATGTTGTGATTAGTGATACAGGAGGCAAACCAAGCCTGTCCCCTGCAATTGGCCATGGGGGCTCCAGTCTAAGATGTTATAATGGCCTAACTGGAGGCTATGGACTTGTTTCCTGTGACAGACTTCTTAGCTAAAGTGGAATTCTGTTATTCATGTCCACTAGTACCAAATATTAAATGCATTTAATGAAGAGATTTCTCCGAACAGGCTTTGTGTGAGCAACATGGCTGTTAATTCACCTGGGTGCAGGTGGGCTGAGGCTGAAAAGGGCGTCAGCGAAGGGCAGTGGGATAGGAGTTGGTTTTATAGGTTTGGAGTGGGCAGTGGAAAGTTACAGAAGTTACTTTAGGGTGGTTTTTTGCAAGTTGGGAGGGGTTTGTAGGGTGTGGAGTCAAGAGATTGGGCCAAGGTCAGTTACGAAGTCCAATTGCTTTGTCAGTTGAGGCTGGAATAAGAAACAATAGAAGAATGTCTCAGGTTAGCTAGGCGCTGCAGGCGTTGATGGTTCTTCCTTCCAGCTACTTCAGGTTTTCTAATTCCAGAAGGTCCTTCGGAGGTGTACGTGCAGTTCACAGGGGTCGCCATGCTGTCCAAGGTGAGGTCAGACCTTACAGAATCTATTATTTTCCCAGCTTTGTTCTTTAGCACAGGAAGGAGTGTTTGAGAAAGTAGCATTGATTGCATTGCCTGGTTTGAGCCTGTCTGCCGCTAGAATGTTAAAGCATGTCCTTTGCCATGATGTAGCCATACTTGTTTTAGGGCAGGTACACAGTAAGGGTTAGAACCTTTATAACTTGCACACAGTGGGAGGATAGTGGAGTGACATGTAGTGGTATCTGGCACCATAGTCTAATGTGTGCCATTATTGAGGGACCTCACTGGGGGTAAATCTGTCCTTCCTAGCCAAGTAGTCACGTTATTATAGGCTGGGAAGGGGGTGTCTGCTTAGGTTACAGAAGGAAAGAAAGGTATATCTAAGATATGAGCCTATTAGAGTGTAGCAGGTGTAGGTTGCAGACAGCATAAAAAGGATTAATAGCTTACGTGAGTTGCAATGTACAACAGAAAGCACAGCAAGAAACAGATTATCTAGAGTAAATGGTGTCTGTCTCTGGAGTAGGACTCATTCAGCCTCCTGAGTTGTCTTCTTCAGCATCCTCCAGGTGATGTCCGGGGCTTGTGTTGTCCGCGGAAGCTGCATCGTCTGAGGTTGTGGGTCTTGCAGTCATCTTCTGCATCTCTGGTATTGGGTTGAGTCTTAACCACGCCATGGTATGGTTTAACGCATCATGCTGGAATCTAAAGAAGACTTGAGGGGTTGTGGACACAGCATACCTTCTTTCTCACATTAATAATTCACTTGGACTATACCATCCATTACTGTTCACATCTTTCCACAAAACTGCAGGCTTTATGTCTTGAGAGGTTTCAGCAAAGTGCTTTTCTATAGCTGATTGTCAGGGACGGTCAGGACTCTGCTGGGGATCTCTCGACCTGCAAGAGGATCCCAATACCTGGAAGAGAGAGTGCGCTTAAAGAAATCAAGGGAGACAGAAAGCGGGGTCTGGAGGGCTGAGAAGGCAGTGCCTAAACAGCGAATTTATTTTTCAAAAGGCCAGGAATAAATATACTTTCTCTGCTCTGGTTTACATCATTGCAAGAGGAAATGCGAATCTATACCTTACATGGCCTATACAGTAGAGAAGTCAGATACACAATCAGTGGTT